TTAGTTAGCTGCCTGACATACCTCTATGATACTTTCTAGTCTGTATTTGGGAATACAGACTCTGAGCAACTCTTCATATTACAACATACTGTAGTATACACATCTGTGTTTATACAGGAAGAGAATAGAAGGATACAGAGAATAGAAAGATGCTTCGGTCTCCCCCATCTTAGTCAGGTAGTGTTTTTGTGCTCTGCTTAGTCACTCAGTCATGTCCAACTCCTTGGGACCTCATGGACTATAGCCCGCCAGGTTCCTCTGACTATGAAATTTTCCAGGCAAGAATACTGTAAAGCAGTTATCCTTCAATTAGAAATAAATAAAGCAAAGTAAGTGCTGGAGCCTGTTGCCAGTTCCTACTCCAGGGGATCTTCCACCCGAGGGATCAAACCTGCATCTCTTTGGTGTTTTTAATTATTGGTAATTCAGAGCTTTTTCCACAAGCTAGTTTTTGATGCTCTGCATTTCAGGCCTTTGCCCAGTACTCTGACTTGCTTCCAGTGCAAATGAGAAGCCTAATCTAGATAAGATTGACTTAAAGGAACATAGACAACTTAAGAGTGTAGGGGAAAAGGAATAATCGTAAAGGAATCAGAACCTATGTTTCTGAGCCTGAAAAGCTAGAAATGATAAGCTTGAAAAGACTGGATGCTTAGTAGAGGGTTTTACTATTTGAAACACTGCCTGTCACTACATAGTAGATAGATAGGTAGATCTGTTTAGACATAGTCACAAGGACCTGAAGGCCAGTGAAGTAAAGCAAAACAGAAAATATCTTTCTAAAAGATAAAAAGATCTGAGGACGGAATGGGTTGCCTCAAGAGGTAGAAAGAATCCCTTCACTAGCAGGTTCAGCAGAAGTTGGAGAACACTGCATCATGGAAAATGAAATCAGGATTTGAGTTGTCTCACATACTCTGTAACATATTGTATGCACTCAATTCCACAAACTTGGCAACAACTGGATTTTGGGTAATCTTGCAAAGACAGCTGGACAGGTGGGTGCAACAGAGCTGGGGAATAGGGTAAGGAGGGGTGGCCAGAGGCAGGGGAAGAGGTAGGAGTTTCCATTCAAGGAGGTGCCCTTAAAAAATGATGGAGCCAAGGAAATTTCCTCTAGAGTGGCTGAAGTTGTCAAATATAATGATCAAGATAGCTTAGCAGCCATGATTCCCTCTACTCTGAACTAGAGTAAGCCAGGAGACTAGGTTTGTTTTTGGCTGTACTGGGTCTTGATTGTGGCGCATGGGGCTCTGTTGGCACCTCTAGCGCTGTGGTCTGTGGGCTTAGCTGCCTGGAGGAATGTGGGATCTTAGCTTCCCGATCAGGGTTGGAACCCACGTCCCCTGCATTGGAAGGTGGATTCTTAACCACTGGACCCCCAGGGAAGTCTCTAGAAGTGACCAGTTTTATAGAGAGGAAAGCATGAAGCAGACCCACAGGATGCATCAGAAGTAAACAGTGGCGTCCTCAGAACCCCGTGTTCTCAATCCTGGTATTCTCAACACCCGGCATCCCTGTCCTGAGTATCGTCACACTCCAGCACCTGAATAATTTACCCTCTTTGCTGAAGACAGCTTGAGTGAGTTTCTCTCACTTGCAAGTCATAGTACAAAAAGAAAAACAAGAGATTCGGGAAAAACGTATTTGTACCTTGAAATATTTAGGCAGATGAGTAGTCATTGTTCTAACAATAAAGTAAAGGCTTGTCTCACCGCAAGTCTGGGTTTAGGTGCTTCTCTCTTGTGGTCCTGTGGCCAAGAGAATTGGGCCCTTGCTGTATAGTCAGTGGAGAACAAATTCCACATGAACAGAGCTTGTGTTTTTCGTATTAATATAACCCTGCATCTGGCATTATGTCTCTTATTAGTATAAATAAGTGTGTACTCGTTACTACTTTCAGGGACTGATCTGTATCAGAAAACAGTACGTAATGAAAAAAACTGGTGTGCTTTGCAGAAGACCTAGGTTCTAGTTAAAGCTCTACAACAATGAATCACCATTTTCTTATTAGCAAAGTGGAGAAATAAACTTTTTCCCAGCGTTACGTTTCAGGAATACACCAGTTACTAAGAACCTAAGTTATTTCACACTTCCCAATTCAAAAAAACATTAACAACAAGCATAGTCCCATCCATCTTCTATAAGCAAGTGAATGTCTGTCAGTGCGTCCCACTCTGTGACCCCATGGATTGTAACCTGCCAGGCTCCTCTGTCCATGGGATTCTCCCTGCAAGAACACTGGAGTGGGTTGCTGTGCCTTCCTGCAGGAGATCTTCTGGACCCAGTGATTGAACCCAGGTCTCCTGCATTGCAGGCAGATTCTTCACTGTCTGAGCCACCAAGGAAGCCCCTTATAAGCAAGGTATGCTGGATTTCCTCATTGTAATCCTATAAGGAGGGTATTTTCTTTCTCAATTTGGGGCAAACAGAGATGAGCTGCTCAAACTCCCTGATGGCTAGCTGCAAGGAGGGGCCAGCTGACAGTCTCCAAGCTTTGTCAGGATTCCCTCACTTTCCACCACAGTAGTCTCAACATGGCACCAGGCCAAAATCCAGAGGCAATGAGTGGTACAAAGATCCAGCCCTTTCGACCCAACATGTTTCTGACAGGCATTCTTTCCTCTGGAGCTCCCCCTGGGCTGACAGCAATTGTCAGCTGTGTATCACAGGACGGCATTTCTGGCAACATCTGCATCTTTTCTTTACCTCTCACTGGAATTATTGCTGTTGTTTAGTCGCTAAGTCGTATCTGACTCTTTTGCAACCCCGTGGTCTGTAGCCCGCCAGGCTTCCCTGTCCATGGGATTTCCCAGGTACTAATACTAGGCTGAGTTGCCATTTCCTCCTCCAGGGGATCTTCCCCACTGAGGAATCGAACCCGAGTCTCCTGCATTGGCAGGCAGGCTGCTTACCGCTGAGCCACTAGGGAATCCCTTCATTGGAGTTACTCTCCACTAAACCATTTTGCCCTTCTAACTCCATTGTAGCATACACCTTCTAGAGAATTCTGTAATAAAATCAAAGCCTAGTTTGTTTCCAATCTAGGTCATTAATTTACTCTATCTCACTTATTTAACCTCTGCTGACATTAATACTGCTTGGCAGGCTTTTTATCAGGCTGTTAACATTTTGGCAGTGTCCCCAAAAGCAAAAGTCTAGTACAAGGCACAACCTTTTCCCTCACAGAAAACATTGCAATTTTACCAGCAGAATTATTTAAATACATTTCACTGTGTTTAGTCAAGGTACTTTACCATAAAAACAAAAGCCAAACCTTAAAAGCCTACATAGAAACACACCCCAAACCGTAACAGCGCCATCTGCTGGTGCTTAACAGGAACTTCTCACTGTTCAATCTCAGGCAAAGACATATGGAAATCATAAAATCTTTTTGTCACCTTGTCCATCTAGTTTAATTAAGGTTTTAAAATAAGGCTAAAAAAGAGAAAATATAAGTTAAATCAAGCCTTTAAAGTTGGTGAATACACACAGGTCTTGTTCTCCTTTTTCAGAGCTTTGGAGTATAGTAACCAGCTCTCCCACCTCTCATCACTACAGTAGACTGTTCTTGAGTTGTTTTTTGTTGGTCGTTATTTATCAGTATCTGAAATTTTACAAACACTTTTAAATCTTTCAATAATTTGGCTTCCTTACAAGAACATAAGCTCTGTGCTCCCTGGCACACATAGGTTCTCAAAACTTTCTGGATAAATAAAATATCTTTTTAATGAACAGCTACATTTAGATCAGCCCTAGAATAAGGGGAAAAAAAATCCAACTGAGTAGAAATTTTACTGTAAAGTTAAAGATCTTAGGATAAGAAATGAGACCCCAGAGAAGTGTTCTCCTCCCAACCTCCATGACAACCACAAGTCTGTTCCCTACAGGCTTCCCAGGCGGTGCAGTGGTCAAGAATCCGCCTGCCAACGCAGGAAACACAAGGGATGCAGGCTGGATCCCTGGGTTAGGATGATCCCTGGAGGAGGACATGGGAACCCACTCCAGCATTCTTGCCTAGAAAATCCCAAGGATAGAGGAGACTGGCAGGCTATAGTCCATGGAGTCACAAAGAGTCAGACACAACTAAGCAACTGAGCATGCAGGCTCAGCCCGCTGGGGGGAACCAAAAGCCCTGGCTAGAAGAAATTAGGAGAAGACCAGACTAATCTACAAATGTTTTATGTGCTCAAAAATGTATTAATTACTGGAAGCGAATGCTGAAGGGAACTTCATCTAACACAATCAGATTTAAAACAGACATGACTGCGTAACCCGTGCTGAATATTCATAGGGATATGGAGCTGACACCTCATAAGGCATCCTGCCACCTATACCTGGAGACATCAAGCTACCAACAGTAGCTTGATAGTTACAGGATGGGAGTGGATTAATCACAGACTGAAGATTAATACCATCAGTCAATGAAAAATAAAAAGTTAATTAGAAAAACTATTTATTTCTGCTCCTTTCATACATCTTATTGTTCCTGAAACAGTCTTCCATACATATCTGAAATGATGTACTGTCGCACACTCTGTTTAAAGGCAAAGCACCATTGGTAAAGCTGATCAGCTGTCCAGAGTTCTCAGCTTACGGGATCACGCATCGTGATTTTACATTAATTTCTGAAGGTCAGAAAAGTCACCTCCAAAAAATGTTTTAAGGGATTTGTAAAAAATAATCACTTTATTCAATATTATAGCTATAGAAATGAAGTACATTTTAAGAAATGAAAAAAAAACAAAAACAAAAATGTCACTTAACATCATTGGTACATCAGTGAAGGCCAGCAGGAAAAAATACTGATAAGCTTGTCTCTGACACCAAGAAGGCATTCTAGTCCATGCTTTCATATGCTTCCTATGTTTTCAGTAGATGTTTCTTTTCTGCTGCTTTTCATCCTTCTCTGTATTTCGTATCTGAGGACTGGTACAGCCTTTAAAATTTCATTAACAGAAGCAAATTCAGTACCTGCTGATTTCTTCTCAAAAGGCACTCTAACCCATCAGATAGCCCCTGTAAAACATAAAATTTATAAACACAAAGAGTGAAAAGGAAGCAACATTTCAAAGTGTCCCAAACAAATTTTATGATGAATCAAAGGACAATCTGAAAATATAAATGTGTGATTCCTTGTTATGGTTCTTATTTTATATCTTGCCCCCTCAATAAATAAATACCTTACTGGGCCTTGGTTCCATTATCCTTCCCCCTCAAAGGACAAATTTACAAACCAATATGCTAAATGACGCCAGATGAGAAAAGAAAGAATAGCAAATGTTATGTAAAAGTTAAAGCTAAGAGTTAGAATCAATTTCCTTTGGACTCTCACAATTCCAACAAAAGTCACAAAGCTTTTTATAGAAAGCAGCTCATTTTGATATCCTAAAAAGCCTACTATTACCAAAGGAAAAGATGGAGGGCCCAGAAGCTGTTCATGCCTGGGAAGGGAGCCCTCGCACCCTACACCTCTTTCTTTAGGAAACGTCCTGACGGTGGCAGGTGCGTTAGCTGTAGCTGTTGAGCAAGTCAAACTTCACAATGTTCAAACAGGAGATCCTTTTACTAAACGCACAAGGCAGGCCCTGAAATTCCCGTTAAAGTCAGGTATTAAAAGCCTGCTTTATAAAGTTCCAAACTTTTTCTTTTGCAATAAACTCTTGCAACCTATTAGGATCAAGAGAGAAATAGAAAAGCTGTGTAAAACTACCCATATTAAGAAAGGGCTGAAAACATCCTGTCCTCATTGATGCCTTTAGAACTTCTCTGCTTTTGACCCTGCTTCTAACATGAGTAGATAAGCTTGGGCAAACCTCAGTTTTTTCATCTGTAAAATGGAGTTACATCAGAGAATTTTAAGGATTATATAAGAGAATCTACCAGTATAGTAACTGCTATTCACAGCAGTAAGCACTGGACAAACATTAACTATTATTAGTTCAGAGTCTCAAGTTTCTTCCTCTCTAAGGTGGCGCCATGGGGTTGATACCTCACATCATGCCTGACACACTCAGGAATGTGATTTTCCTCCTCCCAGTTCCTAGACCCACCTGACTCCCTACAGGTCCTGCGTCTTTGCGCAGCCTAAGTGATCTCTTTAGGACTCATTTATCCCTTTCCTTCTGCTCTACCAGCCTGGCAGATCCACACTCTGAGCACAGAGATACAGAACTTTAATCTCACAACCCTGAGACAATCCAGGGTTGAATAAAAAATAAAAAGGCTCTTAACCTATATATTGATTTTGATTTTGAAGATCTCCACATAAATTTGCTAAGGTAATGCCTGGTACTTCACAAAAAGCATACTTTAAGACCTAAGCTTCCCAAGTACTTAATCTGAAAGAGAACTGATACGTGTACGTATATAACTGAATCACTCTGTTGTACTCCTGAAACTGACACAACACTGTAAACCAACCATACTCCATTATTAAAAAAAAAAAGATTAAACCTATAATAAAATAAAATCTCTGTCAGATAATTCTTAACAACAATAACAAAAAAAGACCTAAGCTTCACAGGAAATAAAAGCTTCAAGAAGATTCTAAGAAAAGTGTCCACCAGTGTCAGCACCAAGGGAAGCTGCTCAATAGCTAGCTCACGCTATGAAATAAAAGAACCGAGAAGACGTTAGGGACAGCTGTCAGTCATCTGCATGTGCTGATATGCAAACATACACTTCTGGACATTTATCTCTTGATACAGTTATATGCTGTGGTATTCTTCCTTGTCATTAGTGTGTGACCTATGCTTCTGCATCAAATAAAGCCATGTTTTAATACTTAAAACTATGTCAGCAAGAAAGACATCAGGTCTTTTAAAAAGCATAGATCAGAAAAGATAAAGCAGGTTGTACCATTTCACTGCTATTGTTTTCTCAAGGTACCTCTTGTTAAGGATATCAGATTCTTGGCGAAAGTGAGGTGAGTGCCACCCTGCAAGTTATCTTATGGCACAGCCATCTTTTATCTCAGATGCTGGTTAACTTACCTGATGTGAAAAAATTCCTGGTTACTGGGGTTTTTTACTCTTCTGTTGTTGCTGTCTCATTTATTACATATCTAACTGCTTATATATGTTGGGACATCAAAGAGAATCTATGCCCAAGAAAACAAATTCCTTCCTTGCTGGTGGTAGTAACCACACCCCTCATGAGGAATCTGCAGGCCCACAGACCTGGTTCATCATCTCTCTGGGGCCTGAAAATATGCCAAAGATGCAATACTGTTGTTTCCCTTTATTTTCTGAAACTGTCCATTGTTTCTCCCCACTCCACACTCAAGGTTCCAGTCATTAGGAGCTGTAGATGAGAAACTGTATCAGAGAGTGGACCATAAAGTCCTTCCTCTTAAAAACTGAAACTTTAGATCTGGCTGCTTGATAAGTTATAGAAATCAGCAATCTTTTCTTTAGACTATTGTTCTGTTTTGACTATATCTATCTATACCTGAAACCCAGAGAGTATACTCCTGTTTCTTATTTCCTATTATTAGATCTTAGTCAACTATCTTGGAAACTGGCCTACAGAATGCAGAAGACAAATGTTTACATAAATAATTACAAAAGTAAGATGAAAGCAATCCTGAGAATTAAACAATTTTCAAAAATTTTTTCTAAGCCAGATGGCTCAGCTCTGTTATCCTATCCTTCAAATGCCGTTTTCTTCCTTTTTTGGGGGGCGCGGGGGCAGCGCCACACCACACGGCTTGTAGGATCTTAGTTTCCTAATCAGGGGTCAAACACAGGCCCCGGCAGTGAAAGCACCAAGTCCTAACCACTGGACCGCCAAGGAATTCCCAAACCAACTTACTTTGGTTCCAAAGATAACGCAAGCTTTATGAATGAATCTAAATAATGTAATATATATATATGAAAGTCTCCTTTTCTGTCAAAGGCTTAATGGATTTTCCTCCTAGCAATATTCAAAAAGCAGCAGCAATTAATGGCTTGAAACTACTCTCTATTATTATTACTACTACGATGGGAATTCCTCTGTATGCTACAGATTAAACAAAAAGCACTTTTAGAGTAAAGTCTCCATCAGTGGTCACTGATGCTACAGCAAAATAACTTTCTCATGAACATACATGGAAATAATAGGAAGATTTATTTGTTTCCATTTTGCTACTAACCTTAAGCAAGTCACACATTTCTTTGGTTCTCAAAATGTTCATCTATTTAAATGAGAGTTAAATTAAATCTCCTATGATTTCAGGTGATCCAGATAATTATTTTACCAGTTTGTAAGTTAAGATATTGATTATACAAAGCACTGAATAACTTACGGCAGTTTCATTCTCATGAATACTCTAGCCATGAAAAAACTCAATAGGACACACACGAATCCAATGAATAGAAGAAGAAACCTATTGAGTTTGGGGATGTTTGGTGCATTGGATCGGTCCAGGATTATAAAACCTAAACCTCCCATTGTAAACAGGAAGCTGGATGCAAGTCCTTCCATAATATACTGTCCATTTACTCTGAAAAAGAAAACAGCAAAACAGTCATTGAAAATTTCCAGAAAAATAAAAAGCTTTTTCCTCAGATTGAAATTCCTATTTCTGCTAAAACATTTTTGTGCTTATTTTTTATTCTTAAGTGTTTTACCATATTTCTGGCTATTCATTCCAATAAATATTTATTGAGAGCCTATTATGCATCAAGTACTGTTCTAGGTTCTGGAAATACAACAATGAACAAAACAAGAGAAAAATCTTTCGTCTTCAAGGAGCTTATGCTCAAAAAAACCTTTAAAACTCAACTAACACAACTGTCTATGTAAAATCAATATGCACATTTTAATTATTAGCTTAAAAAGTCAACTACTATAGGTACATGAACCTTTTACTCCGAACTTTAGTTTTGCTTTTAAAAGTTATGCTATTTAAATGTCTACTATTAATTTCAAATTTTGAACTGGTTAGAAATGTTTCCTGAGTTTTATAGTAATTAACAAACTTCTTATTTCAAAGGGAAACTTTTAAAAGCAAGTTTTCTTAATTAAGGCTTCGTGACCTCCACAAAGATTTCCAGTAACCTATAAACTCTTAAGTTTCTGCATATACGGGCATATGATTTTTCTAGTGATGCGTGTGTGTGCGTGCTCAGTTATGTCCAACTCTTTGCAACCCCATGGACTGTAGCCTGCCAGGCTCCTCTGTCCACGGAATTTTCCAGGCAAGAGTACTGGAGTGCATTGCCATGTCCTTCTCCAGGGGATCTTCCTGACCCAGGATTGAACCTGAGTCTCCTATATCTCCTGCACTGGCAGGCAGATTCTGTACAACCACGCCACCTGGGAAGCCTCTTTCTAGGGATGAAGAGCTTTCAAATTCTCAAGAGCTCATAGACCCCAAAAGGCAAATTTCTCTGTTAAAGATAGGATTTATACAAAGGCACATGTAAAGAAAGTATATGCATGTATGTGTGTAGTATGTGTGTATATATACATTTATTTGTTAAACTAATTGCTTTAACTGAAAACAACACATGCAGCAGTTTCAAAATTCAAATTCAAACGTCAACCCTGTGAAAAGTCTCCCTACCAGCAGGATCTTCAGCCACCCAGATCCCCCCTCTTCGCAAAGAATCACAGCAATCTTTCCAGGAATATTCTCTGCATACAATACCATTCATGTAACTGTAAATACAAATATGGGGCTTCCCTGGTGGCTCAATGGTAAAGTATCTGCCTGCCAATGCAGGAGATGCCAGTTCCATCCCCGGGTGGGGAAGATCTCCTGGAGGAGGAAGTGGCAACCTGCTCCAGTATTCTTGCCTGGAGAATCCCATGGACAGAGGAGCCTGGCGGACTACAGTGCATGGGGTCACAAAGAGTCGGACACCACTGAGAGTGAGCACACACACACAAATACAAATAAAGAGCTATCTTTAGGTAGACAGTTACCAAGTGGATTTTATAAGGCAATACAACAAACACTGTTCAAGGGAAATAAACAACAGGAACTCCCAAGTCTCAAATATTATTTTTCTTATTTAACAGTATAGGGTCTTCCCTAGTAGCTCAGCTGGTAAAGAATCCACCTGCGATGCAAGAGACCCCAGTTCGAGTCGTGGGTTGGGAAGCTCCACTGGAGAAGGGAGAGGCTCCCCACTGCAGTATTCTTGGGCTTCCCTGGTGACTCAGCTGGTGAAGAATCTCCCTGCAGTGTGGGAGACCTGGGTTCAATCCCTGGGTTGGGAAGATCCCCTGGAGGAGGGAATGGCAACCCACTCCAGTTTTCTGGCCTGGAGAATTCCATGGACCATACAGTCACAAAGAGTCGGACATGGCCGAGTGACTTTCACTTCACTTCACAACAAACACTGCTGAGGAGAAATAAACAACAGGACCCTCGAAGTCTCAATTTTTCTTATTTAGCAGTGTAATCCACTGGTCCAATTTTTCTTTGTTTTTGACGGTGCTGGGTCTTCACTGCTGTTTGCGGGCTTTTCTCCCCTAGTTGGAGCGACTGGGGGCTACTCTCTTGCTGCGGAGCCTGGGCTCTAGGCGCAGGGGCTTCACCAGGTGCAAGGGCTCTCAAGTGCAGAGACCATGGGTTTAGTTGCTCTGCAGCATGTGAGATCTTCCCTGACCAGGGATCGAACTGCATTGAAAGGCAGATTCTTAACCACTGGATCACCAGCAAAGCCCCACACATTTTTCCTTAAACGGCCAAACAGTATATATCTTAGGCTTGTCAGCCATATAATTTGTGTCACACCACAGTAGCTTGAAAGCAACCATAGATAGTATAGAAGTAAATGGTTGTACCTAACACCAATAAAGCTTTATTTACAAATAAATACATTCCAGTTTACTGACCCCAGAACAGTCTATAAATAAATGTATTTTAAACTGATATCCTCCTTTAAATAAGTGATTATGTCCACCACTGTGAACTATTTCCTGATAAACGGATAATATACTTTTATTCTTGTTCTTGTCCACTTCCTACAATCTCTAAATTTAGCATTTTAAAACAGCTATTGTCAAAATACAAATTGACCCAATAGGTTGTGCCATAATTTTAAATACGCAGGCATGCCCCAGCAATCTTCTTTCCCACCATCAAATCATTCAAAATGGTGTCTTTTACCTGTAGGCTAAGAAAGCAACTGGTCTCTGATGGCCGTGTTCATCAGTCACTGAGCCGACACTTGGAGGCTCAACAATAACATCATAAATGATTCCTAATGAAAGATAACAGCATAGATTAGACTGGATTTCTAATTTATTTAGTTTTTATCTATCTCTAAAGTGAAAGTGTTAGTTGCTCAGGTGCATCCGCTTCTTTGTGACCCTATGGACTGTAGCTTGCCAGGGTCCTCTGTCCATGGAATTCTCCAGGTAAGAACACTGCAGTGGTTAGCCACTTCCTTCTCCAGGGGATCGTCCTGACCCAGGGTCAAACTGGGTCTCCGGCATTACAGGAGGAATCTTTACCGTCTGAGTCAACAGGGAAGCCCATCTGTCTCTAGAGGTTCATTTGTATTTAAATAATATTTCCTTTTGGGGCTTCCCAGGTGGTGCTAGTGGTAAAGAATCTGCCTGCTGAAGCAGGAGACGTAAGTTCAATCCCTGGGTAAGGAAGATCCCCTGGAAAAGGAAATGGCAACCTACTCCAGTATTCTTGCCTGGACAATTCCATGGACAGAGGAGCTTGGCGGGCTACAGTCAATGGGAGTCACAAAGAGCTGGCTACCTGAGCGACTGAGCAGAGAAATCTTAGAGCCTGAGTGTTACAGAAGATTGGGAGCCCATTCATAGAAAGATACTGAAGTTAAAGGAAGTATCTGTCTCTAAAGATGCATTTATATTTAAACAGAACTGTTCTAATGTATTATTACAGTGAAATGAGGCCCAGCTTATCTCCCACACTTCAGATAAACCATTCAGAAATTCAACTCAGTGTTTTTAGAATGACTTGTAAATTATCTCCAAAAAGAGGTATTTTAAGACAGAATTCATTCAGTAACTGTTTCCAAACTCAAGAATGACTCCACAATAAAGGAGATTTAACATTAAAGGCTATTTCTAATTCAAGAAAAATGTTACACATATGCTTGGATATGTTTCTATAATTAAGAGTTAAGTAGAGAATTATTCTTGCTTAAAAGTAAAATGAGACATTTTAAAATCACATCATTAGGCAGACTGGCAATATTGGAGATGCATGATCATTAATGTTAGTATCTTTCATTATGTCTTAATGACCACTTATGTTAATGCCCATCAACACTGTTTTCCGGAGCTCCCACTGTCAACATCTACTCTTTTATCTTCTCCATTGTTTTCCACCATCCTCACTTTTAGCTTTTTTTTAAGCATAGCAAGACTGTCTCCCTCACCTCTGATAACAAAACCACCATTTAGGAATTCCCTAATGCTACCTCACCATCAAATCCACAAACTGGAACCAGCTTCCATCCTCACCTCCTTCCCTCCAGCTACACCAGAGGAAGAGTCCCTCCTCCTATCACCATGGGATCCCCTTTGCAATCATCAGGACTCCACACCCTTAACATCTCAAAGACTGTTCCTTTGGCTAGCTCCTCTCTTTCCTGCATTATCAACCTCCTGTTCCCTACATCAACCTTTCCTTGACACCAGATCCTCTTAGTTAACATTCTATTTCTATGCTTCCTTTTGGAAAAGGAGCCAGGCTTCTTTCTGGAAAAGAAAAAAAGAATTTGCTAAACTTGCTGTCTCCACTTTCTCACTAACCCTTCATTCTTTAACTCACTCCAATCTGACTTCTGCCACCACTGATATTACTCTTGCTAAGGTGAGCAATGACCTTGCTGTGGTCAAATTCAAAGGACACTTTCAGTTCTCATCTTAGGAGGCTTCCTAGTAGCACTCCATCCAGTTTACTAAATCCATTTTCTTGGGGGGGTGGGAGGGATGGCTTCTTATGGCTTTTGTGACACTCCTGTCCGTGTTTTTCTTGCTCTCTCTCCAGCTGAGCCTCCTCTTCTATAAAACCACTAAACATTCAGAGTTCCCTAGGGCTTGATCCACTATTCTCTTCTTATTTCTATATTCTTTTCCCAACTGAACTAATCCCCTCACATGGCTTTTCTATGCTATTGATCCTCAACGTGCCAACACCTATCAAATGTTAGCACCATTAAAATTAGATGTAAGCAAAGAGATACAACCAGTCCATCCTAAAGAAAATCAGTCCACCCTAAAGAAAATCAGTCCTGAATATTCATTGGCAGACTGATGCTGAAGCTGAAACTTCAATACTCTGGCCACCTGATGTGAAGAACTGACTCATTTGAAAAGACCCTCATATGGGGTATGACTGAAGGCGGGAGGAGAAGGGGACAGAGGATGGGATGGTTGGATGCCATCAGCGACTCAAAGGACTTGAGTTTGAGCAAACTCCAGGAACTGGTGATGAAAAGGGAAGCCTGACATACTGCAGTCCATGCGTTGCAAAGAGTCAGACACAACTGAGCGACTGAACTGAACTGAAGCTCCTGAAGGAGAGAAATTCTGTCTCTGTTCTTCAATATCTGGCTTATAGGAGGAGTTCCGAAAACATCTGTTATTGACTAACTTCAATACAAACCTCTTTTCCCTCTTCCTATCTGCATACTTGACATTTTCAACTAATTATAGTTGGTTCTGTCCAACTATTACATATCCCAGAGTGACCTCAGGGTTCACCATTCCCCACCAAAAAACCAGTTTATTTCTTTAGTCTTCTCAGAAAATGACACTTCCGCCTACTCAGTGCTTCATGCCATTCTCCCCCTACATCCAATCAATCATCACCAAGATTCTGCTTCCAAGATATCTTTCATTATATCTCCTCCATCTCTGCTGCCACCATCCTAAGTCAACTGTAAAACCCACCTAATTGGTCTCTTCATCAATATTTGTTCAAACTTTTCCCTCTGCCCAGATACCCTTTCCCCCAATCTATCAGATTTTGGTGAACATGTCATTTCCTCAGGGACTCCAATGTAAATGATGTTTCTAACTCTGATTATTTTTCAAAACCTCTTTTTCTTTTTCTTCAAGGCACTTGTGGCAACCTGCAATGGAAAAAATGTTATGGAGAAAAATTGACATGACATTTAACATGTCTCAACCAATGGCATTATAAGCATCAGGAAGGCAGGGCCCTTATCTGTTATATTCATTGTTCTCTCCAGTACTTAACACCTAGAACTTATAGGGACTCAGTACATTATTTGCTGACTCTTTCTCAGCAATAAATATCGTTTATTTATAAAGGTACACTCAGTATTCAGGTGATTCCTTTCCAGTGGCAAAACCAACTCCCATATGAGACAACTCATGGCCTTGGCCACTAAAAGGGGTCCTCTCATTTCCTCCAGAAGTTAGGGCAAAGAATCTCCCCATTATAAAAATCGACAGGGAAAAAGGGGCCAGAATGAAAGCTGTGAGGTTTCCAGTAAAGGCCCTGGCTTCAAGGGAGTTAGTTACAAGGAAGATTTCTAGCAGATGAAGAGTTTTTTTTAAAAAGCAATATGCATTTTAAATTCTGTTTATTCAGTCCAGCCCCTACTAATGTGCTAAGCAAATGTTAATGCTAATGTTATGCTAAGACAGTATCTTAGCAACATAAAAAGTATTTTAAATGTAACTCATTTTGAACATAAATTAACTGTCATTATCCTAGATTTGGGAGGAAGGTAAACCTAAAAGTTCATGCTAGAACTAACCCTGAATTTCAGATACTTCCCTCTTCAGTGCCAATTATTCTCACAAAACAGCTTATGAAAATGACGATGTCTCTGACTATTCTCTTAAAAATAGAGTCATATGCTCTCGCTGTCCCTAATCTGTACAGCTTTAATTTTATCATTTCCAAATTAAGTTCACCATTTCCCCAAATCCAAAAGTGCAGTAGCACAGTGCTGAGTAAATCATGGAAATGCTGAAGAGGTGGTGGCTATGAAAAGACTGCAGCCGGATTGCCAACTCACCACTATATAAAGCGACGCCCCTTTTGCAAAGAACAGGATAAGATGCAGAAGTGTTCAAAAGTAATGCTATTCCCCTTATTCTTTAAATTATCCACTTCTGCGCTCTCAAATACGACAGCTTCTGAAGATTTATCTCCAACCTCAAGCATTTATCAAAACCGTCGTTTCGGAAGATTCCATTCATATGCTGACTGAGGAGAAAGCGACACGAAGCCTTAGGTTTGAGCTAACAAATCCAAAGACTGTTAAGTGTCTACCAAAGTTCCAGGGACCACAGACAAAGAGAAGGTGGAAGTCCCACACCCTCCTGATCAACAGTGGAAATAGAATGGGCCAGAACAGATTATCCCAGGGCCTTTGTCAAGTAACTCATGGCATACAAGAAAACAGCAACAATCTGGGCTTGAAAAATACACTATTCAACTCGGATCGTTTGGCTAAGAGGCCAGGAAAGTGAAGGTAATGGGATAGAAAACACGACTCCTCTCAAGATACAAGACCGGGCGTGAGGGTAAAGAAACCTTTGGTCGGTGAACACTAAGGACCCGAGAATTTCCCTCCACCCTCCGAAATGGTTGAGAGCAGAGCGATGCTTTCCCTGGCTGAAAGTCAGGGAACTGACGCGCCCCCAGGGCGGGCCGGCTCTCCGCGCCTCTCGGGCCCCAGGTAGGCCGAGTTACCTCCGGTGATGAGGAAGTAAGACACCACCACCAGAGCGTACACCGTCATGGCCGACGGCATGTGCACCCAGGGCGGCTTCTTCAGCTTCAGGTTCGGGCATTCGAGCACTAAGAACGGGACTCGGTACAAACTCTCCATGTTGGCGGCGGCAGGGGAAGCTGTCGGCCTCCAGCCCCACGCGCCACCCGGAAACAGGCCCGCCCTCCCTCTCCGCGGCGCGTGCGCAGGGAAGCGACCGGCAGGTCCGCAACGCTCGGAGGCAGTGTTTACACCCCCAGAAGAAAAGAAGGAACTATAAAAAAGGATAAGTGACGTGACACAAAACTCTGTATTATAGAATCTTGTGAAGCAGAAACTTGAATAGGAAGTTCAGTTATTGCCAGTGAATAAACAAGTGATTTGTGTACCTTCAAGGACCTGCAGGTCTTCAGACGTGGCCCAGCCGGAGAAGCAGAGGGAATGGAATCTCTCTGAGCCCCTCCCACTCACAGACGCCGCGGATTTTGGAAGCTGATTGGACGCGGAGCGCTCTAGGTTCCCAGAGCCCGAAGATGAATGGGGAAGTTTGGGAAATACTGTCTTTTTTTATTAGCGGGTTTTTCAAGAGTTTGAGAAAGTCCTAGGTTGTTGAGCTTTTACTTCCTGATGTAGCAGTGGGGATAATAATAATAGCAACTATTAATAATAATTGGTAAGTTAATATTTTATAAGATTTGAAAATAGATATCTAAAATAGATCTATCACAAATGTCAAGAAGACATCGCCACAAGATCCCTAAACCGGAGACCCTGAAGTGAGCAAAATGCTATTTTAAATAACCCGTGTGCTCTGCTCTTTTCGTAAATGTTAAAATCTTTCAGGCCGAAAATCTTTAAATCCTCCTGGTTTCTCTCTTTATGAAACCTCCGTGTCCAAAGTATCAACAAATCTTTTTGGTTGTACTACTACTACTATATATATATATATATATATATATATATATATATATATATATATATATATATTCATCCACTTCTCTCCATTCCATATTTACCACTCTAGTGGAAGGCACCATCGTATATAGCCTGGGCTAGATATTTACAATCCAAGCGGATGAAAACAATTGGTGGAGAATTTGTCTTTGGGGATGGACTAGATGGCCTAAAAAGTGTTTTTTGTTTTCTGTTTAGTTTTTCTTTTTTATATACTCTCTTCAGTTCAGTTCAGTTCAGTTGCTCAGTCGTGTCCGACTCTTTGCGACCCCATGAATCACAGCACGCCAGGCCTCCCTATCCATCACCAACTCCCGGAGTTTACTCAAACTCCTGCCCATCGAGTCGGTGATGCCATCCAGCCATCTCATCCTCTGTCGTCCCCTTCTCCTCCTGCCCCCAGTCCCTCCCAGCATCAGGGTCTTTTCCAATGAGTCAACTCTTTGCATCAGGTGGCCAAAGTATTGGAGTTTCAGCTTCAGCATCAGTCCTTCCAATGAACACCCAGGACTTATCTCCTTCAGGATGGACTGGTTGGATCTCCTTGCAGTCCAAGGGACTCTCAAGAGTCTTCTCCAACACCACAGTTCAAAAGCATCAATTCTTCGGTGTTCGGCTTTCTTTATAGTCCAGCATCTCACATCCACCACTGGAAAAACATAGCCTTGACCAGATGGACCTTTGTTGGCAAGGTAATGTCTCTGCTTTTTAATATGCTATCTAGGTTGGTCATCACTTTCCTTCCAAGGAGTAAGCGTCTTTTAATTTCACGGCTGCAGTCACCATCTGCAGTGATTTTGGAGCCCCAAAAAATAAAGTCTGACACTGTTTCCACTGTTTCCCTATCTATTTCCCATGAGGTGATGGGACCAGATGCCATGATCTTAGTTTTCTGAATGTTGAGCTTTAAGCCAACTTTTTCACTCTCCTCTTTGACTTTCATCAAGAGGCTTTTTAGTTCCTCTTCGCTTTCTGCCATAAGGGTGGTGTCATCAGCATATCTGAGGTTATTGATATTTCTCCCGGCAATCTTGATTCCAGCTTGTGCTTCTTCCAGCCCAGTGTTTCTCATGATGTACTCTGCATATAAGTTAAATAAGCATGGTGACAGCCTTGACAGACTCCTTTTCCTATTTGGAGCCAGTCTGTTGTTCCATGTCCAGTTCTAACTGTTGCTTCCTGACCTGCATACAAGTTTCTCAAGAGGCAGGTCAGGTGGTCTGGTATTCCCATCTTCTTCAGAATTTTCCACAATTTATTGTGATCCACACAGTCAAAGGCTTTGGCGTAGTCAATAAAGCAAAAATAGATGTTTTTCTGGAACTCTCTTGCTTTTCGATGACCCAGCAGATGTTGGCAATTTAATCTCTGGTTCCTCTGCCTTTTCTAAAACCAGCTTGAACATCTGGAAGTTCTCGGTTCACGTATTGCTGAAGCCTGGATTGGAGAATTTTGAGCATTACTTTACTAGTGTGTGAGATGAGTGCAATTGTGCGGTAGTTTGAGCATTCTTTGGGATTGCCTTTCTTAGGGATTAGAATGAAAACAGACCTTTTCTAGTCCTGTGGCCACTGCTGAGTTTTCCAAATTTGCTGGCATATTGAGTGTGGCACTTTCACAGCATCATCTTTCAGGATTTGAAAGAGCTCAACTGGAATTCCATCAGCTCCACTAGCTTTGTTCGTAGTGATGCTTCCTAAGGCCCACTTGACTTCACATTCCAGGATGTCTGGCTCTAGGTAAGTGATCACACCATTGTGATTATCTAGGTCGTGAAGATCTTTTTTGTACAGTTCTTCTGTGTATTCTTGCCACCTCTTCTTTATGTCTTCTGCTTCTGTTAGGTCCATACCATTTCTGTCCTTTATTGAGCCCATTTTTGCATGAAATGTTCCCTTGGTATCTCTAATTTTCTTGAAGAGATCTCTAGTCTTTCCCATTCTGTTGTTTTCCTCTATTTCTTTGCATTGATCACTGAGGAAGGCTTTCTTATCTCTCCTAGCTATTCTTTGGAACTCTGCATTTACTCTCTTAAGATTCTGCAAATGTCTGTTTCCTTTTGGGATAAGAGTGACTGATTATAAATCCAGCACAGACTGACACCTTTATAATTGAGCCATGTTTTTATGTTTTTGTTTGTTGCTGAGCTCATGATTTTTTACAGGATGGCATGCGTTGGTTCTGCACTTTTAGTGACTCAATTAAAGAGAAATTGTTTAAATACCATAATAATAAAAATACTTATAAAATGTAGTAGCATCTCACTATAAATATAGACGAGGCTTGCTGCCCTTACTGTTTACCAGTGAGAGTCTCCCCAGAGCCTTACTCAGTGTGTATTAAGGAAGGTATGTTAATCGTAGATTATGAGAGAGCTACTAATAACACCAATAATAAAAGCTGTTTACAGCAGAGCCAGCATTTATACATGGGAAGTTTTTCTAGGGACTATACAGCAGAATATTTCTGAAATTCCCATAGTTTTATAAATAAGGAAAACTTTGGAACAATTAAAAATATGTTGCCTTGAAAAAAATAAGAAAAAACATATAAATTAAAAATTTTAAGCTTCTTTCATATCTTCTGAAGGGAAGCTAATGTTAATTAACTTACCTTTTGGCAGATATTATATTGTCATTTACATTAGTTCTTACTTACTCTTCATGACAATTCTATTAGGTAATTACTAATGTCACCACTTCACATATGACAAGACTGAAGCTTGGGAAGTAAAACAAACTCAAAAGGTATATTGTGTGATTGGATGAGAATTAAAGGCCATTGCCCTAACATAAACCAGATTTAAGATATTTGAAATGAAACAAGTTTATATACTTATCCTTCCTCTTATATATCTTGGGGCCAAATAAGTCCATATACACTGTGGATAAGGCACAGAAGTTTTTAAAAGTACCAACTTTCTAATAAAAAATAAAACTAAAGTCAGAACATATCACATTCACCTACATATCAAATTATTACTGTCATGTCTTTATCCTAAAAGTTTGTTCCAAGAACCAATTCATTATTATTTTTAACATCTTAAACTTTCAAATATTTTTCAACTTGAGTTTGTAATGTTCTACAAGCCAGGTAAAAAAAAGAAATCTTTCATGAGTCAAATATGCACGTCTATTACCATCTGTGTCCTAACCAATAATCTTCCTATAGAAAATGTTTTTTTTTGATACAACATAAACTTTGAGACTAAAAACCAAACAAATAATGAATATAAGCATGGGCATTAGGGCATGCCCTTAAGTAAACAGAATCTAATTCAGTGGGTGATTATTGTATGTAGATGAAGTAGGTCAAATGTTGAAAGAAACAAATACTTGAAACATCATGTATTACCCTGAACTGCGAGCCGGGCAGGGGCAATGTCCCTCTGCCTGCCCAGCCACCAGCTGTTTTTCAATAAAATCAGAGTTGATGGATTAAAAAAAACACATTTTGTATAGCAGAGCCTATCATTTTAAGCTACATATAAAAGCAAAAATGACTTAATTCTTGCTGTGCATGATCAAATCCATACTCCAATGAGGAAACGAGCATAAAACATGTCTACTAAGATGTTCATACTTAGTGTAAAAAATTTTAATAAAAAGCCTTGAAATGAGGAATGGCTCAGCCAGTCAAAAGAGAAGGTAAACCCTACAAATAAGTTTTTTGTTTTGGGGGAGCTTTTTTGGCTGCTCAGCGTGTAGAAGAAGCTTAGTATTCCAGCCAGGGATCTAACCCATGCCCCAGCAGTGGAAGCACAGAGTCTTAACACCTGGACCACCAGAGGAAGAGCCCACAAATAAGTTTTTAACTAAATTCTAAACAAACCAGAGCTGTCAAGGCTACTAATACTACTAACTTCACTTTATTTAAATATAGACTAGATAGAAATTAGTAACTTTTTAAAAATCAGAGAATAATATACAATTTTATCCTAGGTTTATTTCCGAAGATATTTTACAGTTTAGATGACAGTCTCTTGAACTGTGCTCTTCCCTTCTGTATTTTGTATAAGCATGAGAATGTTTGTTTCCCCAACTCAGTGCTTATTGAGTGATAACTCTATGCCAGGCACTGTGTGAATCACTATTATGTATCATGATCTATACAAACTCTTTCCAACGCAACACAAAATTGTAGATTTTGTCACTATTGCTGTCATT